GAGAGATTTCGCAGGTCTTTCCTCCCCACTGCTGTCAGACTCCACAACAAAGACTTTCGCAGCTGATTAAACCCTCACACGTGCAATAAGACTGCTATATGTGCAATTCTTGTACAATTCTTCTTCTGACGAAGTTGTATTTTTGTATTTTCCTACTCAGTTGTATATAGCATTTGTATTTCTATTTTATTCTATTGTATATATTATTCTATTCTATTCTATTGTATATAGTATTTTATTTTATTTTATTTTATTGCATTCCAGTGGGTTTTTTTTTATTTCTGCTACATAACTTTGCACTTTTGCTGTAACAAAACAAATTTCCCACCTGTGGGACTAATAAAGGTCATCTTATCTTATCTTATCTTAAATCTGATAAAGTTTATTTAAATGCTGCAAATAGGCTGTATACATTTCAATGGGAGCAACAGGACGGTATTCATCTAGTATGGATATACTATCATGTTTGTACAATATACTTTTCACGTTTGAACAACATAATATCTCGTTATTACAATATAATATTTATATTGTACGAACGTGATAATTATGTATATTGTAATAATGTGATATTATGTTGTACAAACTTGAAAAGTATTTTGTTAGAACATTAAACATTTCACGTTATAACGTGATATATTTCTATTTTTCTTTTGCCTGGGTGGCAGCTCTACGCTTCCGTAATTGTATTGTTTTATTAATTTTATTTATAGCTAAGTCTCATTTTGTTTTTAATTTTCTCTAGGTGTGACTGTTGCCCCAACTGCACAGCTGGCAGACAGAAGAAAATCAGAAGAGTTGGAGATCTGTAAGATGAGGCTAGAGTGGCAAAAGGAGAAGATTGATGAGCTCACCAAAGAAAGACTATCTAAAGGAGCAATTAGCAGCATGTAAGTCCACTCTTAAAAACATTACATAGCTTGTCACATACTTCCTCTTCTTGAGCACTTACATAAGCATTCTGTTGAGTAATTTTGTCTGTGTTGTCTTTTTAACTGTTTTACTAGCTCTCTCAAAGGAACCCACAAGTTCTGTCCAGGATCCATATCTTCACTGTCCTCTGATGGGTCTTTTGATGAGAGTTCTGACTCATCCATGAGCACAACTTCATTAGATAAAGACAGGAAGAAGAGGAAGAAGGGCAAAGCAAAAAAGCACAAGAAGTCAAAGATACATGACCAAAAAGAAAGAACAAGAGGTGAAGTGATTAACTCAACAGTTTGATTTTGCACGCGGTGTGTTACGTTACTACACTATTACATTACATTAATGATTATGTTCTCTCAATTGCAGTCCAGAGTCCTAAGCAAGTGGTCACCCAGTATAACAAGAGGCTGTTCAAAAGAGGAGGCGCCATGTCTGCTGCCTTTAAACATCTGGGAGTGGACCCGAACATGATTGTGGCAACTGCTCCAATTGCTGAGCTATTCATTGTTGCACCTGAGAGGTATAAAGAATTAGAAAAAAACAAGCAGGGACAGAAACTCTCATTGTTTGCTACACAGTGTGCTGCAGCAATCAGTGCAGATCCAGAAATTGTCAGG